TCATAAAAATATATATATTTTTACCAAGAACACAGCAGCACCTGAGATCTGTTTGAACTATTACACCAGACGATCAGTTTTACAGAAACTAGGTTGTCAGAGGCAACAATTAAAGGACGATGAAAAAACTACAAAATGGAGAATCACAGTTGAGACTCAGTCGTATTTGTCTTCACAGACACATGCTACTAAAACCACCTGCTGTGGAGTCTTTTGATCTTTTCTAGCAAACAGAATATTGGCGGTGTCATGAAAATAATGATCTGATCTTGAAACATGTTTTATAATTTGAAGATAAAATATTTAGATAAACAAATTTGAATAAAAATTGTTTGATCATTATTAGGTTGTTTCTACTCCACAGTGTAATATGACTTAGATCTTTACGTGACAGTATTATGCTAAGCAATTACTTTTTTTTGCATTCAGCCAATTGTATCACACGTTATTTGCAAGGACTGTCAATATCTATCATATCGTCATTCAGTCATTGCTGTCTTCATCCAGTAGGGAATCATAAATACAATTCATTTACCAGGAGTAAGATTTTCTTTCCAAAACCTATTTACAGTAAGGTCATATGCCTCACTATCCACAGGTAGTAGAAAATTAGGAGTTCCTACAAGATTTCTGAACAGGACGTGCCACTTTGTGTCTGGAGAACGTTTCCTTGATTCTCAAGGTTTACGTAGAGATACATAGAAAGGAAGATACATAGGAAAATGTATTTTGTATGTAAGACTCAAAGGCTTCAGAAACAGTGACCTTATCACTGTCTCTTTCATAGGTATTTGCTGAAGGACATATTTAAACCATTTTTTCTGCAGATTTGGCAGAGAATCTTCTACAGTTAAGCGATCATGATCATACAGAAAATCCTCAACAAGCCAGCTGACTACGTGACTCATCAGTTATTAAACCACAGCTTCAACTTTGCAATAGACTTCAGCATCTGCATATAATGGTGTTCTGTTTGCCTAGGCATAAAGTCTGAAAGTACTCAAATAAGTGCTTACAGAGCTGATTCTCTTACAAATCGGAGCCCTCTTGACCAAAAGTACCCTGAACTTGTCCTGATTCTACTTATAAAACTATTTCAAGCCTTGTGTTGCTATTTTCAAGGATACAAACATAAGGAAAAGATTTTATGAAGTATGGCAACCTCATAGTTCATTATAATCAATACTGGATCTCAAGACGTACCTGCATTGATATGAATGAGAATTGTTACCATCTTGAGTCCAGTGAAAATTCATTAAAAAGGTTAAATGAGATCATAATTGGGCCTAGATTATGTTTCCTGTGCACGTACATCTTGATATTGTTAACCTCGCAGTGGCAACCACCATTTTCTTCATGAAACGATGGTTCCTCACTACAACATTTTGCCGTTTGCCATTTTCAGTTCTTGGAAGTAAAGAGCTCATCTGTCATCTTAATTCAACATCACCCTGTGAATTCTAATTCAATCATTGAGTTTATATGACATTGGTACAATCACCCATTATGAGGCTTTGATACCTAAACCATAGTTTTCCTAGTAAGTCTAACATATTGACCAACTAGCTCAACTGTTTCTCATTAGTAAGAATAAATAGCCAATTCTAGTACAAGGGTACATAAGAATTATTGCGCAAATTCCGCTTTCATTTCGTTCCCTTTCTCTGATTTGCATAAGGGAATGCTTTACACATTGGCTCAAGTAATTTTTAATGAGTAGTCAATTAAAAAGCCTCAGATTAGTTTTCTTATGTCACTTGTTTTCACATTTTCATTTGTTCCGCTAGTGCTCTTTAGTGTAGCCCAAAGGCTGGGGTGAAACAGTGTGGGGAGAATATTAAGAAAAGAAGGATTTTTCCTTTTTTTTCTCTCCATGCAATGGGAAGAAAATAGAAGAAGAAATGATAGAAGCTTTGTAGACCTGAACCCATATTATGTGTGCAATTATGTGTGCTTGTTTTCATCACGAAGAACTTTCAAGAGTTGGCATCACTAGTAGGATTATAAGGGACATATCAGAATACCTAAATTTCTGGCTACAAATACTGTTCAATCATTCTAGTGTTTTTAAATAAGTTTGATTTTTATGAATATATGTAAAACGAACATACTGACATCTGCCTACATCCCACAAAGTGTTGGAAGAATAAGGGAAGCTACAAACTGAAAAGTAGGGAGATGTTCAACATCGTAAGAGAGACTTGATACAGCTATGGCATGTAACACAAGGATATAACTGTACAAGTATAAGAATTTTTCCAGGAAAAAATTTTTCCATGTATCATATGACAATCTACAACTGTCAACTACAGCTGTGACTCAGGCATTTTTACATCTTTAAGCCTCAATAGTGTAAACGTACATAATTGCATGCAGGCATACAGACAGGCGTATATATATGTGCATATGTATATACACACACATTTGTATGTAAAGATATACACATATATAAAAATAAATGACCCATTCCCTGCAAGAACTGTATTTTGGCTCAAAGCTACACGTAACATGAAAGTATGCAAGACTATAGGTCTAGTGTCTTTACTGCGGTTTATTAATCTGCCTTCTGAGAAAGCAGACTGATCAGATTTTGTCATCTTCATATTTATAATAAAGATCCACATTACAAACTTCTCACTTTCAACTGTAAGGAATTACTTGAAAGAAGTTCATTTCATATAGTGGAAATATTTATCCAAATAACTGTGTATCCATAAGAACACAGAGTTTATAATCTGTCCCGAAATATTTTCAAAGATCTCCTCCATCTTCAAAGGCAGATAGCCAAAAAAAAGATTTACATATTGAGGAACTGGTGGGTAGCTGACAATAGCTCTCCGTCTGCTGGGGTTTAAACATGAGGCACTAGACAGGTGCAACAGATAAACACAGCAATCATCGATGAACCTTACAAACAAAGTGAACTTATTTCTTCAATAGAATTGACTTATTGCTTTTGCAATTTTGAGTAAGTAATCTGTAATGAAAACAGTGCCTTTTTACAGAATGGAAGCACACTATTTGCCGCAAATGTTCACAAACATGAACAGGCCTCCAAAATTCAGAGGAGATTGGAAAGGTGGTTCCTCCTCCCTCTAAAACTCAAACCAGCCCACTGCCAGGCTACACCTTTTCAGCCTTCTCTCCACAAACACGGCCTAAATTCGTCCGTCTCGTGCTAACATGACATCGGGTCACGGCGCTGTAGAGTACATCTGATAGCCTGAGATTCAGGCGCAAATCACGATGCCTGGGGCCGGCCCCGGACTTACCTGCTACCAGGCTCTGGCCAGCCAAGCCTG